TACATTCCTAATGGGGAAGTAAGACACTCAACAATGGAACAATAAATGTGTGCAAGCATGTCATAGGGTGCTAAGTCCTATAGCATAAAGTAGGCATGCAGGGTGAGAAGGTTGTATTTTCATAGCATGGCTGAGGAAGTAATCTTCTGATAAAGGTTCACTTAGGGTGAAGGGAGCAAGGGAGCGAAAACGTTGATATCAGAGGGTAGCAGCAAGAGTAGGAAGTACAACGGACGGAGGTAGGAGCAATTTTCGAGTGTTCAAGAGACAGCAGGGAGGCCAGCGCTGCTGAGGCGGGTGAGAGAGGGGAAGGGTGGTAGCAAGTGAGGTCAGAGACAAGCAGATGGACAACTCAGGTAGACCACGGACTGTGAATTTGGCTCTGAGGGTGACAGAAAGCCAGTAAAGAGTTTTGAACAGAGGTGTTCAAAGGATCGCTCTGCCTGAGCAAGAGCAGAAACAAGGCCACCTCAATCATCTCGGTAGAGATGTTGATGGCTTGGACCAGGTGGCAAAGCCAGGGGAGGTGAGAAGTGGTCATTCCCAATACATTTTGAAGGCAGAGCTTACAGAACTCACTGGTGGATTGGATGTGGGCTGTGAATGGAAAGTTGATCCTAAGACTATGACCCAAGCAAATGAAATGAAAGAGTTGCCATTTAATGAAGGGGGGAGGGAAACTCAGGGAGAAGAGACAAGGCAACAAATCAGGAGTCTGCTTTTGAACATGCCAAGTTTGATTCAGTCAACACAAAGCAGTGGCTGGACATACAAATCTGAGAGCGGAGAGCAGTGCAGACTGGCGATTCACATTTGGGAGCATTAGACACTTAAACATTTGGTGGTATTGAAAGCCAGGAGACTGGGTGAGCCCACCTAGGGAGTTAGAGGTGGGCCCTCATGTCTTCCTGGGGACGTGCAAATATTCTAAGCGCAGGGAGACCAGAATCCAAGAAGGAATCTGAGAAGGACTGCCCAGCAGAACCATGAGTGTGGTGTCCTGAAAAAGCCACATGCAGAAAGAGATCCAAGGAGAAGGGATGGGCCAACTGCCAAATGCTGCTAATTGGTCACAAAAGACGAAACTAAGACCTGACCATGGGATCTGGCGACCTGGGGGTTACTGGTGACCTTGGCAAGAGCTGTTTGGATGCACGGGTGAATACAAAAGAGCATGGGAGGAGAAGCAGCAGAAGACGCCAAGATAAGACAAGCCTTAGGAGGAGTTCTGTGTAAAGGAGAGCCCAGAACAGAGGATGCTGGAGTGACATTCAGGAGGTGAGCAGGGACAGGATCTAGTGAACAACGGAGGTCTGCTCGTTAATGGTAACCCCTCAACCGTGGCCGAGCTACAGTAAAACAAGTACTAGCCACAGAGCACAAACCATTCCAGTCTCTGGAAATCAGTTTAGCAGTACACATCCTGAGCCTTGAAAAATGTCCACGCCCTTTGACCCATTAATTCCACTTATGGAAATCTCTCCTAAGGAAATAATTCCAAATACAGAAAAAGTTCTCTGCAGGCGCCTGGCTGACTCAGTCAGTAGAGTGTGTGACTTTTGATCTCTAGGTCATGAGTTCAAGCCCCACATCGGGTGTGGAACCAACTTAAAATATTTTTTAAAAATATTTTTTAAAAACTCAAAAATTAGAAAACGTTTTCTGAGTAGAAGTTCATCACAGAACTACACATAATAGGTCTAGAAACATCTAAATATGCCACAACAGATGATGATTAAGGATGCAGGATGGATCTAGTCATTGGACTATAAACTCCATGAGAATAGGGACAATGTCTATTTTATTTACCACTGTATCTCCAGCACCTACCATGTGTCTGACATATCTGTTGAATGATTAAAAAGTCTTAGAAGGTCAAGCAAAAAAAAGATATTTGAAAATATTTTAATATTATACATAAATATGCAGACACTTACAGTACGATCTCAACCATGTTTTTCTAATAAAACTAACACTATGTACACAGAAACTAAAGAAATGACTCCCCAAAACTGTAAACACTGAGAATGGTTGGGTGACAGAACATGATTTCCTTTTTCATTTTGTTGTTGCCTGTTCTGTGTATGTTCAAGAATGAACATGATTAACTTTTATAACGGGGAAAAAACAAGCCAATGTCATTTCTGGGAAAAGGAAGTGCTGGAGTGAGGCAGGATTTACGTTCCCACCTCCAGGCCTGGGTCATGCTTTGCTCCCTCTAAGGGTCCCCAGGTGGTCTTTGTGGGTGGGCAGCTCCAGTTCCAGCCCCAGCGCTCCTCAGAAGATGGGCTCCTCCCACTACAGTCAAGGACATGCCCATGAGCTGGGACTCAGGAGCTAGAGCTATTTGCTAAATCCATAATCAGCCGTCAAAAATGATAGACAGCATCATGGAAAACCGATGACGATAGTTTTAAGTGAAATCGAGCAGAATACAGAGGGGCACATTCACTAAGAATGTAACTGCACAAACTGTTCATTCAGTAAATATTTATTGAAGGAATGAAAAGGCGTCACATGAATTATGTCCACATGCAGAGATGAGACAAACAACCAGAACCAAACAACCTACCTTTTCAGCAATACCATTGTAAAGCCTAATCTCCAGAACTAGGATTCCTAGAGCTCTCTTCGAGATCCCAGAGTGGGTGTCCTCAGGGCTCGCCGACTGGCTCCAGGCTGCAGGGCACTCTGTTTCTAGAGCAGAGCCTCTCACACTTGAATGTGTACACCATTAACTTGGAGATTTTGATCAAATGAGGATTCTGATTCAATAGGTCTCAAGTGGGAATAGAGATCCTGCATGTCTACCAAGCTCCAAGTGGTGCTGAGGCTGCTGGTCTTCTGACCATACTTTCAGCAGCAAGATCCCAGGGTGCTGGGGAACCAGACAACTCCAAGGGGCATTAGGAACTGGGAGCAGGAGACAGCCATCCGGGCAGGTTGTGTCCACCCAAGCAAGGCGAGGGGAGCACAGAAGATGCTCAATGAAGCTTTCACCCACTACCCCAATTCTTAATGCCAAGCACCTTCGCCAGATGCCCAGCCCGGTTGCCCTGCCCTCAAGGGTGTGGGCACCCTAAAGTATCCTTGTCCCTAAGCATCCCCACTGAGATGGGCAATGAGGCATAGACTCCAGGCCATTGCACAGGCTCTGGACGGGCCTGAGGCCCCCAAATTCTTTGGGAAGCTTGGTCAATGACATCACGCTGGGATGAGCCCCAGGGTCTGGGCTTTGCTGGCAGGTGCTTAGCTGGAGCTGCCAGCAGCAGATGGCACCAGAGGGCCAGCACAAGTTGCGCCCAATAGAGTGGCTCAAAATCTATCCCAAAAGCCAAGGTAAAGGTCACCAAAGGAACAGAATGAACACTGTGACCAAAAGCTGGGACAAAACAAACAGCTCCAGGAAGGGAGCTGGTGGCTCAAAGAGCGCTTGACTTGGGTGTCGGCTGCACAAGTTCTTGGTCAGGGGCCAGGTCAGAGAGACAGTCAGACGTGGCTGTTCCAACCTCCTGCTGCTTGGCCCTCTGCCAGATGTCCTGTGAACAGCAGTCCTAGTAGCCTCCCAGTGAGACTCCCCGGGGGCTCTGGGCACCTGAATACCCTGCCCCAGGAGGCCATGGTGGGTCTAGCCAGTGCCCACTCTGCCCCAGGGTGGGTTAGGTCTGAACAGGCAAGAGCCAGACCTGGGCCTCCCATCAAAAGTGGCCCAGAGGCAATCTTGACCTGTCTGTCTAGTCCACAAAAAGATAAAGCCTTGGATCTGGGTCGGCAGCCAGAAGACTGGGGCATGACCTCCATGGGTGAGATATTCATATTCATTGTAGCCCTTTCTCCATTTTCCCTGGTGGGCTGGATGAAGGGGGACCCCTACTTCTGTCAGCCAGTGTCCCATTAAGCCAAACGAAAGAACCCCCTGCCCCTACCCCTACTGAAGGCTTGGCAAGGCTTTGGAACAACAGTGCCCATAACCTAGAGCAAGTCAGCTTAGTGGTCAGAGTGCTATTGGCCTTGGCAGTGGGTTAACGCTGGGGAGGGTCACAGATTTCCTGGCCTGCTGCCTTGTCAAGAGAAGTCCTGCAGGCTAGGAAGCAGGCGTAGGAGCATGGCTGCAGCAGCTGAGCCCTTCCCATGCTGGACCGTGGCGCAGGGCGTCTGTGCTCAGCTGAGCACTCAGCAGGGGCATGTCTGCCATCAGCCTAACTTGCTGGAGCCCTCTCCCTGCACCAGGGCCTGTCCTTGGTATGGAGGACCAGCTCTAAGACAATGCAGATGTCCCCCTCAAGGTGCTTATCAAGGGGAGATACTTGCAGGCTTGTTTCCACCGAAGGTGGCAAAGGCAGTGAAAGTGAAAGATGGAACAGGATGTGAATCCTGGGATTCCCGCTGCTCAGGCTGGACTTTTCCTCCTACAGAGGAGCACGAGCACCCAAGATTACCAGGATCCATGCTCTGCAACACAATATGCTAATCATATAACATTAATCCCTCTACCTTCCCTTCATAGACTTCTGTACCACTCACAAAGTCTGTCAGCCAACATCAGCTCTCCCAGAGGTGAGGGGTTGACCATGGTCCAGAGCTCTGACCCCACGTGCTCCTTCCCTCAGCCCACAGTGACCTCACAGTCCCGCTGGCAGAGATGAAAGCCTTGGGTTCCCAGGCTGAGCATCTGTTTGTGAATTACCAGAATGAACTCTGCCTGCTACAAGCATCTCTGCTTCTGGCACCTGCTCAGGCTGCAAGGCATGCTGTGACCTGCGGAATCCAGACTCAAGATTTCTCCCAGGAACAAATGGCTGGACCACCTGAATGTCAGGCTTCACAAGGCAAATGGGTGCAAAAATAGGCTCTCCCCAGCGTCTCTGGGTTCCAGAAAGCCAGTAGTGATGGACTGCCACCAGAATGCCAGTAAAAATGCTAGTAATGATGCAATTGGCCCACTTAGCTAAATGGTGGAGCCTGGTAATGAACATGGCAGGGGGAAGCTTTAGACAGGGCTAAATGGGGTTAGACCTGCCGCTGAGCCTCAGAGACCCTTTGGAGACCTCCGTGTGCACTGTGGACAGGGGCAGATGCTCGGACTCTCCCACACGGGCACTCTGCTGACATGTCAGCACCAGGGTCTTGACCTCCTTCTTGAAGTTGGTGTTGAGAAAGCCATAGATGAAAGGGTTGACACAGGTAGAGGCCATGGCAAGCAGGTGGCACACCAAGAAGATGAAGTTGCCATAACAGATGGGGATGGCCTCATGGTACCAGTCCTCGAGGCTGTTGAACACATGCAGGGGCAGCCAGAGCACAGCGAAGGCACCCACCATGGCCACAAGGATCGCATTGATCCGCTTCATCTGCCACGCCCTCGAGCTGTAGGTGCCCTTTCGGAACACCTGCTTCCGCTTCCGCAAATGCCGGTAGATGCGCACATAGCAGACCAGGATGAAGGCCAACGGCACGCAGTACTGGAAGAGCAGCAGGGAGGTGGTGTAGACGATGCGGTGGTGGTGCAGCGGCCATGACTCAGTACAGACCACCTTATCTGCCAGAAACTCCACAACCTTGGAGTGGTTCCTGTGAAAGACTTTCTCTAGGACACTGTTGACCAGGAAGGGCAGGGAGAGGAAGCAGGCGATGAGCCAGATGACCACAATCCCCAGGTAGGCCTGGGAGACACTGGGCTTCCAGCCTGTCGGGTTGATGATGAGCTGATGCCTCTCCAGGGCCACAAGGACGAGCGAAAGGATGGAGACTGTCACCGACATACACTGGATGAAGGCGGACATCTTGCAAAGGGCCTCCCCAAAGACCCAGTAGTCCATAAGGGTGTAAATGGCTGTGAGTGGCTGGCAGATGAGGCACATGAGGAAGTCAGAGAAAGCCAGGTTGGCAATGAGCAGGTTGGTCACATTGGCCTTCTCCTTCTGCCTAATGGTCACGCATATGAGGCAGAGGTTGCCCAGGACCCCCACAACAGTCTCGATGCTATAAGAGGTGACAATGAAGACCATCAGGTCTACAGAATCCTGGCAGTGGTCCGAGAAGTTGTACGGGATGCTTCTTGACCTGCTCCGGTTTTGACCCTGAGGGGATCCTGGGAGCACCAAGGCCAGGAAGTGCGAGATGTTCATGGTGCAGGTGAGAAGATTCTGGAAGATTCAATGACGATGCCTACAAAGCAAACAGACCAACGGTACTCAGGGATCCTGCCTCTTGTGTGGAATCCAGGGAGAGGTGGGAGCCACATAGAGAGGTTCATGGCTTCTGCCATCCCAAGGCTGCTGGGACCTGGAGGACCTGAGACTCAGAGATGTAAAGCAACTTGCCCATGGTCACACAGCTTATCAGTCAAAGAGCTCAGATGCGAATCCTAGTCTGATGCCAGAACTTGTCATACACATTCCCTTTGACCTCAGGCTTCCAGGCTGTTTTAATGATAAAGAAACTAGAGTTTTATACGCAGAGTGCAAAGACAGAACTGTTTAGGTAGTATGGGCAGAAATCCCCTTGTCACGTTTTATCCAAGTAGAGACAGCGGCAAATGCCACTGTGTGCTCAGGTCCTTCCACAGAGCCCTCTGCCCTTGAGGATAAAACCAAACCTCGGAGCTCAACACCCAGTACAGCCTCCTGGTCTCAGGCCCTACCTGCCCTGCCAGCCTCGTTTCTCAGGCGACACACGGCAGAGTTGAAGACTGCCATGGATGCAAAGACTGGGTCATCGGCACACCAGGTCTCTCCTCCTGCCCATCATGCTGCACACGTGCAGGGCCAAGGTTACCGGCTGCCCACTCACTGCGCTGCCCATGCTCAAGTCACCTGAACTAGCTTGCAGATCCCAAGCACACCAGCCTAGTCCACACCTCCATGCCCTGGCACGGCTTATCTCTTTTCCCCTGCTGTCTCCTCAACACAAGGGACCCTCTGCTAAGACCAAATTGGAATTTCGACTCTAGAATCTCCAGGTGATAATGCCAGTGACAGATACTCTGACTTAGAGAGCTCCCAGATCTTTCCACACACCACTGCGATTCACCTTCGTCACGGGGTCTCTAGCTGTCATTAATCCCCCAGGGCAGTTCCCAACCCTCAGGAAGCATCGGAATCCGTCCAGGGGCATGTCGAAAGTGCAGACTCCAGAGCCCCTCGTGAGGAAATGCAGTGAAGTGAGTCTGGGATGAGGTCCAGGCACCTGTATCTTAACAAGTGGCCCAGATGATTCTCATGCATGCGCTCCTTGAGACCCATTGTGATATACACTGTTCACAGAGGAAGACCCTATTTCAGATATTCTCATAGTCCCACGGAATGCTCAAGTCCATTTGTGAACATATATATGTTCTTCATGATCAAGTGCTAATTTAAAAGCAGTTTTTACAGAGTATGGCCAAAATTAACCAGAGATCAGGAAAATCTGTATGTCTCGTGTCCTAATTGTCACTCACCACGCATTTGATTTGCTTGATAAGGATGAGCTACATTTGGCCATTTACAAGATCAAGTCATGAATTCAACTGACAGTTTATAGTCTGGTTACTTTGGCTACTGAATCCCAGAGGCAGGAGGATTTTTCTGGCACCATAGTCTTCTGGCAGAAAGGACTGTTTGGAATAGAACCTGACAAAATGAAATACAGCAAGGCCAAATGCAAGGCCCAGGATGTGAGTCCAAAAGCAGCCAAAGCTGCACAAAACGGTGGTGGGTGCACTGTGCCCAGAAGCAGCCAATGGGAGAGACACCCCAGGCTCTGGCTGGCTGACCATCAACCAGGGCTGGGTCAATGGCAGGAGTAATGCCACAGGCTCCAAACTAGCCAAGGACAGCATGATCAGAGCAGAGTTCATGGGTGGGGAGGGCTCCAGAAAGTCCTCACGTCTTCATCCACTCAATAAACATGGGCCGAGCCCCATGTTAGAAACAAGGGTGAGGATGACATACAACCATGTCCCTCCCAGACCACAGAACTGCCCCCAGGAACACAGGTGAGCCTCAAGGCCATATCGCCATCGCCATCGCCATCGCCATGGCCAAAGCCAGTAGGAATGCAATGCCCGTGAGCTGGGAGATCGGAGAGGAAACAGGAAGATGAGAGATGTGACATTGAGGCACGGCCCCAAAGCTGAAGAGGAGTCAGCCATCCAGTGGACCAGATAGAGGAGGGAATTCAAGGTGCAGGGAACAGCATGTGCAAAGATAGGGAGGCAGGGAAGAGCAGAGCCTCCTCAGAGAACAGCAGGCCGTTCAGAACAACCGGAGCCCCGCGTAGGTGGAAGGCAGTGGTAAACGATGAGACTGGAGAGGTGGGCCAGAGCAGGAATACTGGCCAACAAGCCCACGTCCATTCTAGAAAGATCATTTGGATATAAAAAATAGACTGAGGAAGAGGTCCAGGACAGAAGGAAAGGGAGGGCTGAAGAAGACAGCACTGGGGTTCTGCCTGGCTTGCAGGCCCCTTCTTAGAGAAAGTCATAAAGAGCTAACACAAGGGATGGGCATGTATGGCCCGGGACACCCACACCTTTCACTGCTGACTAGACCACACGAATGCCTGAACGCAAATCAGCTGATTCCAGCAGCTGGCGGGAGCAGGCCGACGAGAGAAGTGCTGGGCCTGGGAGAGCAACGAGGCAGGAAAGCAAGCATGGGGACAGGACCAGAAAAGGAATGGAACTGTCAGCGGCCTCTGCATGTTTCTGCAGAGGCTGACAGGGGCGCACCAGGAGGAGACTCCACGAGCGCCCACCCCAGAAAGGCCCTCTCGCACTCCAGGGTCAAGGTGGCAGTGACTCAAATCCAAGAGCCCCAGGTCAGCAGAAAAGCTGGATTTCTTTCACGGAACATGCTGAGAGGTGGGGGTCTCCAGAACAGAGGCTCTCTTGGGGGAGGTGCTCCTGAGCAGAATCAAGTAAAGAAGGAGATAGGACTTAGATGCCACCAGAGCCTGGAAAAGCTATCATGATCCAGCCACAACTCCACCAACTGGGACTTAAGAGTTCAGGGTGAAGAACGGTCCAAGTGAGACCATGTGGTTGAAAGGAGTGGGTCACCTTGCCGCTGGCGGGGGAACGGGGGCTTCTCACTCAAGAGCAAGCTGTAGCCCTGTCTCCCCAGTTGTCTGGGGGCCCCTGGGGTCGAGAACAGTATCCTTTGCTGCAGAGAACCAACACTGGCATCTGGAAAAACAGTAGAGAAACATCAGGATCCCAGGGAGGCCAGCAGGCCATGTACTTGTCCTGGGTTCAAATTCCAGCCCCGCCACCTATATGGGGGGGGGGTGCGGGGAGCAATTCTTATCTCACAGGAGGGCCTGGTTCCCTCCTAGGTCAGGGGATGAAATGGGGACAAAAAGACCCTGAGAAGTAGGACCCTAGAGCTCTCCCTCCCATAGACTCTTCCAGGTTCAGTTTCCATCTTAGTTCCTTGGACAGATAACACAATTCAGTGGACCAGGTCCTGTTCAGGAGCTCTCTCTGCCACCTCCTGGGAAGCTGAGCTGCCCATTTGGCAACAAGAACAGCCTGGCACAGAGCAGGTGCTCATCGAACGTCAGTTTCCTTCTCTTCCCACGCATCCCACCAACTCGACCCGAGGGGACCTCACTCTCTTCCACCACGAGGAATTGGCCACAGTGATCATACAAACCCATGCCCAGGTCTCTGAGTGCACCTAGCTCCAGCTTTGACCCAAAACTTCTTTAGGAAGTCGTGCAGGAGGGCACAGAGCCGGGAGCAATCACCTTACTCTAATCCTTTGCCCAGCACCCGGCCTCCAAAGGGCACCAGCCCTGTTGCAGAGCGCTCCTGCTCTGAGCCCCGCCCCCCAGTGGAGTACCCATCTCTATCCAGGGCTGGAAAGGGCCACACTCCCACTGCTTGCCTGTCAGAGCCTAAGACTATACTGTCCACAGGCCAGTGACTAGCCCGAGAGACATTCATGACAGGCCTCACGCTGCCCCTCATTCACACTGCCCCATCTATAGATGAGACCCCAGGATTCTGAGGGACACAGAGGCAGTCAGCCCGCATGTAGACAGGTAAGACTCTGTTTTGAGACTGGTCCCATGGACATCCCAGGAGACGCCCAAACAGCCCGAGAGGCTGCACCTGGGGAGGGACAGGATCTGCCCATCTGCCCAGGGGAGCAGGGGTGGGAGTTTGGAAGGGCAGGCAGGAGAGGGCATGAGGGAGCCCAGTCTTAGAGGGGAGAGCCCAAGGAGGGAGGGGCTTGCCTCACCCTGGAGAACACACACATTCCTGGGGAGACAGAGGGCAGAAGGGACATCAGCTGTCCCTGAGCTTTGGGCACCTGATACCCCACTGAGCATTAATCCACACCACAACCCTGCGGGGAAGGCATTACTAGGCTGAACCACATGAAATTGCCAGTATCCAACCATTGTTGCCCTGCAAACACGGCAAATTCATGTGGTTCAATCTCCTATCTGCTCCATTTTCAAGAGGGGGACGCTGAGACCCAGTTAGAGGAAGGGACCTGACTGATGTCCCACAGCTAGTAAGTGACGGGGTTTGAATCGCCAGCAGTCTGACTCAGAAATCCCTGCACTGGGACCTACCAGACAGATTTTGAAAAGGGAAGTGGAGCCCATGCTTAAGCAAGACACAAGCTAACGTGTGGGAACAAAGGGGCAGAGGCAGGGTTGGAGATGAATATCCAAGGTTCCTGACAAAGCCTCACGGAGCCCAGGGTCTCAGTGAGTGCCCAAGGGTGCTGGGAGGTGGCTCAGCCAAATGAGAAGGTACACCAGGGGCCTCTGTTGGTCAGGTGGAGTGCTTTGGCCCTTGGTCCCAGCATGCTGGCTCCCCTGTGGCACCAAGGACCACCCAGCCCCTTCAGGTCCTCATCCTTCCCAAGCAGACCTGGACTGGGGGTCCCCACTGTAATGACACTCTTAGATTTGCCTCCTTACTGACACAATCTGGAACCTCAGAAGCCTCCCCTGCAGTGACAGAGCACAGCCCCCCCCCCCCCAGGAGGAGACACAGGCTTGAAGGGCTATGACTGAGCAAGGACCCATACCTTCCAAGGGTCAGTCCCTCGCAGCCTCCAGGGGACCACATCCGCTCCCCAGGGTTGCTGAGCTGGGGCCACAGTGACCACTTCAGACCTTTCTG